CAGATTTGCCTTTCAGTTGTGCGTTGGCTTTGAATGTACAATATTAATATGTGAAAACAGTGAAATAGGTTGAGATCAGAGAAATCAGGGATGAAATAGTTCTTCCTCCTGGAAGCTTATCTTTTTTTAAATATGCCTCTTTTCTTTCCTGGAAATGATCCTACCAGTAATTCCTCTGCAGGACTATGCTATGCCCTTAGAGTGTTCACATTTAGAAATCTTTCCTGCAGTTCAGCCTTATTAAACTTTTCACCCCCATTTATTAGCCCCTTTTGTACTCTGGCGCTAGCATCTTTGAAACTGAAACACAGTACTCCACTGTCACTCTACAAGCCACGAATATTTTGAATCATTCCTTCAGTCATCATTCTACTCATTTGAATTGCTCTTCTCTAACCTCCAGTGAAAGTCCAGATTTTTTTTGTAAAATTACGTTCAAAATTGTACAGAGCAGTCCAGAAACAGTCATACTGAGCACCATGATGAAGGAGAGTTAAAGCTGTTTTATAACGTACTTCTGTGCATCCAGCTGAAAGTTGATTTGGCTTCTCCTGCTGCCATGTCTAATTTACTGTTCAGTGTCACTCCCAAACGCCCTCAGCATCACTGCTGCTAAGCTTACACCTCCTACTAGAAATGACTTTCTGAATATTGTCCAACAGATACCTATTCACTTTTTTCCAAACTAGCTTTCAGTTTGCTATTTTGCTATTTATGTTCTCACTCATTCAAAAATCGCAATGATCAGCAGTTGTTGGTGATTGTCACCAAAACGTTACTTCCGCATCTGGAAGATTAATGAATATATAAAGGAAGACTTTTGCTCTACTTAAGACCAGTACACTGGGAACATTTTGTTTTATAAATGTGAAAAAGTTAAGAGGCCAGACTGGCAGCGAACTCTAACCTGTACAATTCTTATGTCTCAACTTGTAATTTGGGCAGAGTTGGCTATCCTACACCTAAAAACTGGTGTGAAAAATCTGGCTTTTGCTGATCCATTTGTCTATGTGACTATAAAAACCACTTGACAGTAGGTTAGTTGGTAGTGGTGTCATTGACTCCTAAACAGGATTTTTCATTCTGTTGTTATAAGCGAATTATTGCCAGCAGCTCTGAAAAGGTTCCTTTTCAGCTCTACAGCTTAGAGTCCTTCATTTCAGTTTAGGTATCATTTTCCCAGTGAGTCTGTCCCCTGGGAAATTCCTCAGTGAAGCATGCGAGTTTTTAATGCTCTTCATGACATAATTAGGTCAAATATGATAAGGTCAATTTTACTTACACTCCCTAAAGTTAGAAGTAAATGAAGAATGACTTTCGAGAAGTGTCTAACCTCACAAGTCAATCAGATCTGGATGGAAATGTTCTCTACTTTATATCTGATAAGAAGTGCCAGGGGAATGAAAAAGGCTGCTCAGGCATTTGTGGCCAAATAAAGCACCATGTAGTGTATCATACACAATCAGCACTAAGCTATCAACATAGAGTTTGTAATGGAGAGCAATCAAAGATAGCTGTAAATCAGGAAGACACAAGCAAGGGTTAGGGCTAAAATGGATTTCAGTAAACCAGTTTCATTTTGCCATCTGCTGAACACAAAACACAAGGCAGTAAACCACAAACATACGGAGCCAGAAGAGAGCAATTTGCTTTGGATCATTTCCTGTGAATTTTATTTACTGCTAGAAGAAAAAGAAAAAAAAAAGATTCCTGTAAGTAGATCAATCCAGCTTCATGATTACAGCAGGACAGTACTTGTACAAACACACTTCTGACAAAATAGCGGATACATTCACAAAACAGAATCAGAAGAGAAGCCAGGAAACCAAATTTAAATACATCTTTGGATCTTTACTGTTAGTGGAATATGCAATTTCCGAGCAACTGTGAACTAAATTTTCTTAAAGAATTTAAATTTAGATCAGGTGATAACGCAAACCATAAAGAACTAAAATCTGACTCTTAGTTGTCGACGGCATTAATAACTGCACACTTAACAGACGTATGTTTCATCATCGCAGTGCTCTGCAGTACTGTTTATAGTGGCTTCACATGTAAAACTAAAGTTTGCAAGTTGGTCCACGGTACACAAGTGAGTTTTGATCTTGGTGTGTGTTAAAATACAGCAGTGTTGTTTGCTCATCAGAGTTTATTCCCTTCTCCTTCATAGTATATTTGGCAAACATAGTTCTAGTGTAGCCCAGTGAATATTCTTTTTTTCTGTCCAATAGAAATAGTTCCCAGAGATCTGAGGATGAAAGACAAGTTTTTGAAGCATTTAACAGGTATGTTACTTTTGCATTTGTATCCATTGTTTCATCTGCAAACTGTAGGCTGCACTACACTTCCAATAGTTCCTGTGAGCTGTGCTGATTCATAATTTATTTTTCTTCATGTTTCAGGTCCTCTCTACTTCAGCCCAAAATGTAGTAAACACTTTCATCGACTTTATCACAATACAAGGGACTGCACCATCCCAGCATGTAAGTGCCAAAAGCTGAGGTTAGCTTTCATAAAACATCAAAAACCTCCTAAATATAATAGCTCTATGGAATACCAGGTTCATGATACCATGCTAGACTATGTTTCTTGCAGTGAAGTCTGGAGTGCTCTGAAAGGCACTTACTGGGCTTTAGAGCATGCTTGCTGGGATAGTATTACCATTAGAGTTTGGAAAGCAGAAACACAACTTCAATGCAAATATACTGCGTAGAATGACTGTAAACACTGCTTCCTTAGATACTTACGCATAGGTCTGTTCAGTTCCAAATCAAAGGTGTTTATTTTGCATAGGAACATACAACTCCTCTCCCAAACCTCTCATACTAAAGTAGACTAAAAACAGAATCAGAAAGCCAGGTAGGACTACTCCTTCTTATGAATTATCTTATGTAGAACATATCTTACAGCCGTTTTATATTTTGGCAAGTCAGTGCCAAAATAGTGATCTTCCATGTAAACCTTTGCAACCTTTGTCTTCAGTGAAATACGTAAGTATAACTTACTAACACTTAGTAAACAAACCAGCAGATGGACACAAATTACAATATATCAGCAGTGTTGGCAGCACAGAGAATTAAAAAAAAAAAATCAGAAATTGACATTTATCAGTCAGTAGATATGACTCCAAATTGACGCAGAGGCGAAGAAGATGCTATTTTAGTACAGCCTTTTTAGAATGGAAGAGTACTTTATTTTACTTCTCTAAGGTTAACCAGTTGGGTCAGTAGCAGTAGCAGAGCTGGGATTAGAATCAAGAGTTTCAGATTCAAAGTTTCAAGTATTAATAAATATTTCAGCCCAATGTATTTTAAAGGCATATTTGTTAAGAATTGCAGAGTTTCTTCCTATTTATACGGATTCAGATTAGGATCATTTTGAAAAGATATCAGGCTACTTAAAATTGATAAAGAATTATAGATAATGACTAACCAGGTCATGTTCAGTTTACATTGATTATAAGAATGGAGTTGTTAATAACTAGTCTGTTTTAGACAAACACATGGTCATATTACATTTTCCATAAGGGCCACATCACAAACATCATTTGACTCAGCACTAACTGTGAAGCTAAAGACGAGGTGGCCTGAAAGTCGGAATTGGCCTTTTCCTCCTGACAGGTGAAATACCCACTGACAAAGTTTTCTGGGTAATGGAACCTAACTTGTATAAATGGCAATTATAGCATATCTAAGTTGTGAGTTAGGGGTCGTTAACACTGAATCTCTAGGAAAGATTAGATGTAGTTACTCATTAATGAAATAATACCAAGCAAAAATTAACATCACTGGGCTAGTCTTGCTAGGATCTTAAAACAACTTTCTTGTAGGAACATGAAGTAAACAACCTCTTGTAATTCCTCAAGTACAGTATCATGTTACTTTTGATAATATTCTGATTTTAGGTCAATACTTACCTATTCAGTCTACGTAGTCACTGAAAGGCAAATCAACACAGAAAAAGTGCCTATGATGCTGCAACAAGGTGGTAGCTAGTATAAAAGTATTTTGTGGGCATACTTTCTAGTGCTTTGTGTAGCACAGTGCATTGACACAGTCACTAACTTAGTCTACTGTCTGTCCATGGCCAGCTTTCACATAATTTGCTCTCAGGAAAAAAAAAAAAACAAACAAACTTGATTAGTTTTGTACCTTTGTATCAGTCCTGTTAATTGCTACAGAACTCCCTACTGTGAAGGCACCAAAAAGCAGAAGGTGCCTAACATCAGAAATATTAACAATAGGAATACTGTGGGAAAACAACCTAACTAGTTTTAAGATCAAACTTGATACCATTATGAATGAGTTTATATGATATGGCTCCTTACTGTAGCTAGGGGCTGGACTTAATGTTCCTGTGATTATATAGAGAATATCAAAAAGATAGGTGAAATCATTCTACACTGGTATAAGAGAATGCATACGTTACGTTTCTATCAACCAGAGACCTTATTCATCTAATATATTAGTTCTTCTAGGAGGAATATATATTGGAAAGTCACGTTATTTTTTATTACGTTGTTAGATTTATTC